GCTGAGCATGCGCAAGCAGTCCTCAGAGTTGCTAAGGCCCTAAGGCAGACAGAGACGCAGGATACGCTGAAGACCAATCAGAAGGCTCAAACGCTAATCAGTTAGCCAATCCAGATTCGCGAGTAAATCAGGTCCTCAGCATTCTACTCGCCCCACCCGTATCCAATCAGAGCGCTGGCTACTTTGGGCGGACTTTTCAAAACAGCGAAAAGAAAACAAATCGGGGACCTTTAAAAGGTGCAATGCGAACAGGAACGATCTCCTTCCGCCCCTCAATCCTGTCACTCCGTGTCTTTCTCACTCTGGATGAATGAACGCCCAGATTTCACCCTCAGTCCTGGACCCCGGCACGAGGATGGGCTTCCTAAGGCCAAAGAGGGCTGACGGGGCTGCGGGAGAGGCTGCAGACCGCGGCTCAGGGCCGGGACTCTTTTTCAGAGTGAGCCAGGTACCATGGATCCTTCCGCTGCGAGTCACGTGTCCCGCCCCTTGGGGGCGTCGAAAACTCAAAACAAAAACAAGGGATTTGCTTGGGCCTCAGCTGAGGCTGCGGCGGAGGTGGCCCTGGAGGGCCTGGTCTCGGGGGCCCGCGCTGCACCCTAGTAGAGGGTGGGCGCGCGGGGAGCGGGATGAAGCCCGGGCCGAGGCCGAGGCGGCGGCTGGGAAGGGTCGCATGCAGGGCCGGGGGCGCCTCTGAGCCGCGGGTCCCAGGCCTCGGAGACGGGTCCGGACGCCCCCGTGGGCCAAGTCCCTCCGGGCCGCGACGCCGCGGGCGGTGGAGACGCGTGTCGATCACGGTGAGCGGGCCCGCCGGGTTCGCTCCGGGTTTCTTTGTTCCGGGTCGGGACTGCGGTGGGAGGAGAATCGGAGTGTGCGGGTCCCACCCCGCACCCCAGGAGCGATCCCGGGCTTCTTTCTGCCCCAGCCCCGGGGGAGTCGGCGCCCGCGGCGGAGAGGTGCTGGGGGGGCGAGCGAAGGGGACATGTGGACTGAAGGCCACCTCTGCTTCGGTGTCCCTTCCCACCCCCACCTCCCAGTTTTGTCGCGGGGGTGGCGGTGGGTATTGGATTGACAGCCCCAGGGCTCTGCACCGCTGCGGACCGGAGCACAGTGGCAGGTCGGTGCCGTCCTGGTGTGGGGCGGGCTGGACCGCTGTCCCCGGCCCCAGGTGGGTGGAACTGGGGTGTCTGAGTAGGGGACATCCGGAGTAGGCTCTGCCCAAGAGGAGGGGGAGAGCCTGGGGCTGATCCGGCCCGAGGGGCGTCTGGAGCGGGGCTGGCGGGGCGGGGCTCGGAGTCTCCTGACTCCGGTCTTTGTTCAGTTGAGAAATTTTTCTTTCCCCTCCCCCGTGCTGTGCAGCGCCCACCCCCAAAGCCAACGCCGTGGCTGCCTTCCACTGCCTTCGTGCAGTGCTGAAGCAGAAGTCCGTACCCAAGAGGATTCGGGTGGGGCGGGCCGTGGGGACATAGCCGCCCGTGGACAGTTTCCTGTTTGTGAAACTCAGGCCGAGGCTGGTGACCCAACGCAAGACAGAGGACGTGACCACGGTCCCTTCCCCTGCCACACCTCCCAGGCCTTGGAGGAGGGTTGGACGGGCTTGTGCAGAGGTGTACTGGTCCCCTCACCAGCCCCTCTACTAGGTCTGCAGGGCGTCCTTGCAGGAGGTATTGACACCAGCACTCCCCTGCCCTTCTGCCCCAGCTCTGTCATCACCAGGTTCTGTTCTCACTGTCCGTGGTGTCTTTGCTGCAGATGAAGGACTTCAGGACGGAGTACTTGGCAGGTCCTGAAGGGGTTCACCTCCTGGGATTGTTGAACCTCCATTTGGAACAAGAACAGAAATTTCAACCTCGAGAAAAAGGACTGAGCTTGATCGAGGCTACCCCGGAGGTAAGTTTGCAAAGATTACTTGTTCAGGACAGTTGATAGCTTGGGGGAGGTAACTTTTTTCCCCCTCAGTTGAATCAAAACTAAAGCTTGCAAAGTTTTTTAAAACCAAAATTGATCTTTCTGGAATATTAGAGTAAATTGTAATATAGGGCCAGGCTTTCGTTTCTTAGCAAGGAGAGTGATACTAACCATAGAGAAGTGTTTTCAAGTGGAACACCCCCAGCTTTAACTGCTGGTGGGAGACTCCTTGGGAATTGAGTGCTTCACTTGTGGACATATCCTTTGCCTGTTAAAGATTTATTTATAGTGTGATCTGAAATGATTCCATCTCCAGTCCAAGAGAACTAAATTTTATTTGCTATAATCTTCTGGAATGTTGCCTTACGTTGAATAGCAGAAGCTTTTTTATGAGGTGTATTATTTTAAAAGCGGTGATTTACATCTTGTGTCTGATCAAGTGTATAGCTTTAGTTAAGTGATACCAACTCTTTCTCTCGTATTTTTCAAGATTAAGGCAAACAATTACCATATCCTTTGAATTTTTGTGTATTTTCCATTTAGTTTTTTTTTTAAATCGTAACTGTTGGTTCTTGGTTTTTATTGCAGAATGATGTTACATTGTGTCCAAGATTGAGAAATGCCAAAGTAGAAGATTTAAGGAGTTTAACTAACTTTTTTGGATCTTGCACTGAAACCTTTGTCCTGGCTGTCAATATTTTGGACAGATTTTTGGCTCTTATGAAGGTACTGAATCATTTTCTAAATGCATTAGTTTTTTTATGCCCAGTGCCTAGACAATGCCTAGCACATGAGAGTTCAATAAATATTTATTAAGTGAATGCACTAATACCCACTGTACATAAGTATTTATACTAATCAGAACTGTGAAGGTTAGTGCCACACTGAGTCTACAAAATTAAGATGTTTTGCTGTACCTCTTGACTACTTTTTCCTTGAAGATATGACAAAAGAAAGACTACTGTTATTTAGGTATTCATTATATACATATATATTATATATATGTATAAAATGGATATATGTATATATATATGTACATATATATACACACACAGTCCTAAAAATAAGGTTTTTATATTTCTATCTCCCATTATGTTTCTTTTGGAGCTTAGATGTTTTTAATAGTGAACCATGACAAATGAAGAATAACAGTATATTAAAGGTGACCCACTGCCTTCCCTATAAATCTTACCAAAGCAGGGAGCCACAGTGTTATTAACAATCACCAGCCACTGTTAGCAAAATGTAGCGATTCTTCTGCCAATAGGATTGCTGTCAGCTGCCCAGTCGGTTTTCAGGGCACTGAAAAGAAAAGGGCAGCCATCTATCCATGGCGCTTTTACGTATGTCCCGCTCTGTGCCATTGATACATAGTATTTGTCTTGGGCAAAATTTCTCTGACATATGGAATGATTCTTAAAGATGTTTGCATTAAAAAGATTAGGAATAGAAAGCATTATTTTTGTAAACCTTTGTTCCTTCATATATAATAGAGTGTGCATGTGCAGGAAAGAAAGAGAGAGAAAGCAAGCTCCTCCCAGCGGGGCTTGTCATGCCATAATTTCTATCTGCAGTTCTCCATTCTGTCAGGATCCTGGGCCTGTGTTGTCCCCTGGGCTGAGATTGGAACCCCAGTTGGTTAAATGGGATCTCGTTTCCTCTACACAGTGGTTAAATGCTACACTACAGGGCCAGCTGAGAAGGTGTTGCTTTTATATCTAAAGTAGAAGTATGTGTTTTTGGTGTTGAAAGTCTTGAGAATTTCATGTCTGAATTACAAAATATGTCTCGGATTGGAAATTTAATGCCTGAACCTGCATTGAAAATTTTTGTACCTGCATTTAAATTTAAATAATTTAAAGTACGTATAAGAGAAGCATTTTGGTTATATGCTATCTTAAGAGTAGGGGCATCATTTCACTATTTCTTTAAGTGTCTACTTTGGTAAATCAAAGCAACAATTTTTAAAAGAAGGATTTTGTCCTTATTTTTCAGGTGAAACCTAAACATTTGTCTTGCATTGGAGTCTGTTGTTTTTTGCTGGCTGCTCGAATTGTTGAAGAAGAATGCAATATTCCATCTACTTACGATGTAATTCGGATTAGTCAATGTAAATGTACTGCTTCTGACATAAAACGGATGGAAAAAATAATTTCAGAAAAATTGCACTATGAATTGGAAGCTACTACTGCCTTAAACTTTTTGCACTTGTATCATACTATTATGCTTTGTCACACTTCAGAAAGGTCAGTGGGTTTAAAAATAAAAGTTTGGGGGACCAGCAGGTGGTGTGGTAGTTAAAGTACTGGACACTCCCACATGGTTGACCACGGTTCAAGTCCTGTATCTGGTGGCTTGCTTTCTCGTTTCCCCTCTCTCTCTCTGTCTCTCTCTGGTCAAATTAAAATAGACAAATGAATAAATAAAATTAAAATAAGTAATTATTTAAAAAATAAAAGTTTGGTACTTGGAACATTGCTATAACTAATAATAAAGACTTAGAATGTCAGTGAAATTTTTATTCCCTTCAGATTTATAACTTTGCCTTTAATTCCTTTAAATCTTTTAAAAATTGGAAGTTTATTTTCTTTCAAAATTTGTCAGAGGATATGTGTGCTCACCAGATAGAGAGACCAGAGAGAGAGACCGGAGAGAAAGAGATAAAGTGAAAAAGCACCCCTTATGAGGAATGGTCACGCTGTAATCCTTTTTCCTCTATTTCTTCATCTTTTTGGGATTTTGGGCATGCACATATTTGCCCAGCATGTTTTTGAAGCTGCTAGGTTTGAGACTGGATTGCAGTCAGCCATGTGAGATTCCAGCTACCTTAACCACCATGCCACCTGATCCAATATTTGAAGATTAATATATCTCTATCCTTTCTATGTATTGTATAGGAAAGATATTTTAAGCCTTGATAAACTAGAAGCTCAGCTGAAAGCTTGCAACTGCCGACTTACCTTTTCAAAAGCAAAAGTAAGTTGATTTCTTGTTACAGATGTCTCACTGTGTCTGTTTTGAATTAAAAAAAAAAATACATAATTTTTTCTTTCTTTTTTTTTTTTTTGTTAGCCATCGGTACTAGCCCTGTGCCTTCTCAATTTGGAAGTAGAAACTTTGAAATCCGTTGAATTACTGGAAATTCTCCTGCTTGTTAAAAAACATTCCAAGGTAAATATTTTCAGTTCTTATCTTTGAAAGCAAGTTTCCTTCCTAATGCTTTACCTTATTTTATTTTATTTATTTTTTTTTGGAGAGGTTTTTTTGCTATAGGGCACGGACGCTCGCCAGACAGACAGAGAGAGAGAAAGCGAGAAATCACCCCCCAGGGGGGATGATCACGCTGCAATCCCTTCTCCTCCATTCTCCTCTGGGGATCTTGGGCACGTACACACACACACCTGGTGTGAGTTTAAGCCACCGGGTCCAGGACGCAAACTGCGGTCGACTACGTGGGAGTCCAACGACATAGCCATTACGCTAACTGCTGGTTCTCCTAATGCTTTACCTTTTCTCTGCTGACTTAAACATTAAGTAATGCACTAGGACTCTTAACTTTTATACTTATTTTTTCTTATATCTCAAGTGTTGAAGTTCTCAAGATGCGACTTTGACCCAGATGTATTAAGCTTAAAGGAAATGGCACTTTGCCCAAGTTCTCTCTGCATTCAGTAGTCACGCCTGTTAGTAATACAGAGGATCCTCACCATAATGTTTTTTAACTTTGCAATGGTGTATAAGTGATACGCATTATGTAGAAATCATACTTCGAGTACCCATTTATCTATATTTCACTTTCAGTACAGTATTCAGTAAAGTATATAAGATGCAAGGCCAGGTAAAGTCATGGTGGTTGAAGTCCGCAGGATCCCACATGACTATTGCACAGTTCGAGTCCCAGACCTAGTGGCTTGAAAATCATGCCAGACATGTGTGTGTGCACCCAAAGTCCCAAAAACAGGAGACATGGAGTAGAAGGGATTATGGCATGATCATTCCTTATGGGGGATTGCTTTCTCACTGTCTGCCCCTCCGAGCCCTGTTTCTCTCTGGCAAGTACACATACCCTCTGGCAAAGTAAAGAAACAAAACAAAGCAGGAATTAAAGGCATTGGACTCCCACATGGCTAACTGTGGTTCCAGCCCCAGACTTGGTGATTTGCTTTCTCACTTTCCTTCTCTCTCTCTCTTTCTGATCAAATTTAAAAATAATAATAAAGTTTAATAATTTTAAAAATCTTTAAACAAAACAAGTAAAATGACATAAGATATTCAATATTTTATTATGAAATAAGCTTTGCATTAGTTGATTTTGCTAAATTGTAGGCTACTAGAAGTGTTCTGAGCACATTTAAGGCAGGCCAGGCTAAGGTGTTTTATAGGTTGGGCGTATTAAATGGATTTTCTTTCCCTTTTTTAAAAATTTATTTTTAAGCCATCGGGGCTGGGATTTGACTGCAATCTACCATGAGGGATCTGGCTTCCTTAACCACTAAGGCAGGCCCTAAGAGGATTTTCAAGTTACAATATTTTCAAATTACGCTGAGTTTATTGATATGTAATGCTGTCGTACGTTGAAGAGCACCTGTATAGTTGTACACATTTCTACATGTGCACTGTACTAAAATGCATTCTGGGACGTAGACTTAATATAAACAAGCAGAAGCTTAAAGTAACAGTTCAGTTGGGGAAATAGGGAAGTTAACATGGCCACACCACAGTCCCTTCTCCTTTCTCCTCTTGGGATCTTGGGCACACACGTACACGTGCCCGGCTGGAGTTTAAGCCACTGGATCCAGGACTCAAACTGCGGTCATCTACATGGGAGTCCAGCGACATAGCCATTACACCAACTGCTGGTCCCCAAGCAACACATTTTATATGTTGAATCCTGTGTAAATTATACTTCTGGTGGTATTCCTCTAAATCAGTTGTTCCCAGGTTTTGGCTGCACATTGCAGTCAACCGGGAAACTTTAGAAAACCTTGATGCCCAGGTTGCACTCTTTATCAATTAAACCAGAATATCTGGGGGTTGCGGGGTGGAGAAGGCAGGTATCATTATTTTTTACAGACCTGGTGATTTCAAGGTACAGTAAGGTTTGTAAACCACTGTGGTAACCTCTTAGTTAAATTTTTTTCTTCTTTTCAGATTAACGACACGGAATTCTTTTACTGGAGAGAGTTAGTTTCTACATGCCTAGCTGAATATTCTTCTCCTGAATGTTGCAAACCAAATCTTAAGAAGTTGGTTTGGATTGTTTCAAGGCGCACAGCCCAGAACCTCCACAACAGCTACTATAGTGTTCCTGAACTGCCAACAATACCAGAGCAGGGTTGTTTTGATGAAAGTGAAAGGTAAGCAGATTCCTGGACTAATTAGACTTACCCAGAGTACATCTTACTGATTTTATACTCGGAACAGAACTATGGAATATTATACAATAAAGTGTCAGAGGAAAACCCTTGTTCTAATACCATCATTTCTTCAGGTGAGAAAACTAACCAGCGTAGTTTTATTAAAATAGGTAATGGCTGGGGCCAACAGATGGCATGGTGGTTAAAGACACTGGACTCCCATGTGGCCAACCATGGATTTAGTCCTGGACCTGGTGGCTTGAAAATCAGGCCAGGCACTTGTGTGTGCATGCCTAAAATCCCAAGAAGAGAACGGAGGAAAAGGGATTGCAGTGTGGCCATCATCTAGGGGGTGATTTCTCGCTTTCTCTCTCACCGTCTTTCTGTCTGTCTAACGAGCACATGTGCCCTGTGGCAGAAATTTAAAAAAAAAAAAAAAAAAAACCCTTATGAAAAAGGTAATACTTTACAAGGCCTCATTCAGACCTCTCCTTTTTTAAAATTGATGTTTTTCATCTTTTCATCTCCTTTGCTCTTCAAAGTACAATTTAGTTAAAAACAAACAAACCTGAATCTGCATTCTGGGTTTCTTAATGTCAGTATGAATTCCTGATGTGGGGCTATGGGGAGAAATGTGTAGAAGACTGGCAGGTAAAAGGAACCACCACCACTGATGTGGCAACTTCTGTAGATGTTCTTACAGTTTGGTCAAATGTGTCTTGTTTAGAATTCAATTATTTTTGTAAAGTGAATTACTTCATTTTATTAAATTTGTTTTATGCTATAGAGATAAAGAACCAGAAGTCCCTTTTCTTTTTGTTTTAGTTTTTGCTATAGGATGCATGCACTCACTAGAGACAGGGAGAGAGAGAAAGAGGAAGTGATAAAACCACCCACAGAGTAGGGGGGCCATGCCACAATCCCTTCTCCATTCTCCTTCCGGGATTTTGGGCATGCATGCACACATACCTGGCATGATTTTCAAATCACAGAGTCTGAGACTTGAACCTTGCTGCTGAGCATGTCAAATCCAGCTGTCTTAACTTCCACCTGCTAGCCCCAGGAGTTCCATTTTCATGACTTGTTAGTAGCTTCTTGCTTTGATACTTGAGAGTATCTATGGTGCAGTTTCTTGATTCAAGAAAAACGCTAACTAGACCATGTGATAGGAGATAGGTTGTCTTTAATCTGCATTTATTGGATTTAAAGTATTTAGGATTCTATTATTGGTTACTGATAGAATTATTCATTGGCACAAGAATAATAGTTGGCAAATAATTTGTCTATACTTATTAAGAACATCTATATATTCTAATGAGATTGCAATAGACTTCACTTTAAGAAATCCTTTATAAAGTAAATTGTGTCTCTGTAAAGCTAAATTTTGAATATAAACATCCCAAGACTAGTGGCCCAGCCTGGTGGTACGTTCCATAGTTTGCCGAACAGTGCACTGGAAGCCACATGCCCAGTTTAATTCCCTGGTTTCGATGGCTTAGAACACGCTGGGCACACTCTCGCCTAAGACCCTGATGAACTGAAAGGGTGGAAGAGGGAGATTTCAGAACAAGGAGACCCTATCAAAGATGATTTCTCTTCCTCTTCTCTGTAGATGCACACAATGTCATGAATAAAAATAAATAGAAATTGGGGACCAACAGACGGCGTAATGATTACGTCGCCGGACTCACATGGTTGACTACAGCTGGGTCCTGGACCTAGTAGCTTAAAATTCACACCAGGCACATGTATGTGCATGCCCAAAATCCTGAAAGGAGACTGGAGAAGGGATTGCAGGATGGCCATCCCCCCCTGGGGGAGTTGATTTCTTGCTTTCTGTCTTGTCACCGGCGAGTACACATACCCTATAGCAAAAATCTCTAAAAAAAGTAATAGAAATCAAACCGTTGCCAAGATCAGAGGTGTTTGTAATAGCAAGCTTATTTTGCCCGTCAAACACCTAAGTGTACTGTAAATAATGTCATCCTCTTCCCTGTCTCTCTCCTTCCGTTCAGTGAGGACTCCTGTGAAGACATGAGCTGTGGAGAGGAGAGTCTCAGCAGCTCTCCTCGCGGTGGTCAAGAGTGCAGCTTCTTCTTCAACTTCCAAGTGGCACGGACACTGTGCTTCCCACCGTAGAAATCTAATGTTCTGTGTCGGAATTTAAAGCGTGTGTGCAGATTTCAAAGCAATAAACGGAGTAGGTAGTTTTCTGGTCCAGCCCCCATCTAGGCAGGAATTAAATAGACTGGCATACCTGCCCTCTATTTATTCTTCAGATCAGATCTGGCCTATTTTCATATTTAATCCTAAGCCATCCAATGGGTTAGTGCCTCTTAAACAATGAACAATACTTTAGACATTGGCACTTTATTTTTCATGTTGATCTTTAGCTACTTGGGGGAGCAGGGAAGGTGCTAAACCTTCAAGTTACTTTTCAGTATTTTTAATGATGAGTAGTGTAGCTTATTTGAAACTTTTCTAGAACCTTCAGGTGTCTTCATTTAAACAGACTGGAAGTATGCAAGTGCTTCCATGGCAGGGCTTGTCCTCGATTTCTCCATCCCCATTCTCAGAATAGAGAATTTGTGCTTAAATGTCAAACACCTTTTTTGTCTGTTTTTAAAATGATTCATGTACTATCTGACGGAGATCATATAAGCTTAGGAATTAAAATACTGACACGCCTGTGAATTTTAGTGTATCATGTCCCCCTCGAGGTTTCTGCTTTAGCAGAAAGCATTGACTGACTAGGGCTGTGAGATGGTTGCATTTCTAACGTCTGAGTATTGTCAGACTAGAGTATTATTTTAATGTTATTTAAAAAATCCACAATCTGCTAGTTTTGCATGTATCTGTATGAAAGCAAGAAGGAAGTTGCACAGAATAGGTAACTGGAATGGATAAACGTTGAGTTAGTGGCACATTTGATCTCATTTTCTTGTATTAAAAAAAGTCTGCATGATTATGTTTTCCTTCCTTTGTATTCCCATTTCAGAAGTAACGTAATAATATGTGGGTGCCAAGACTGAATATGAAGCAAGAAGAGCCCAAGTGTTTGTAGTATTCTAGTTTGGAGGAAGTCTGTGCTGATACAGTCACGAGAATGGGGACTAGGAACTCTGTACACACAAGGTTCTGTACAGGGACTTTTTAACTTTCTAAACTGTATATAAAAATGTAAATCTTTAAGAATGTACATAAAAATGCTGTATTTTTTTTACCACTGTGTGTGTGATGGTTTAGTCAATGCATGTAAATATAATTTATTGTGTATTTGGTGTTATAAGTCATACATTGAAGACTTACTTTTTATTGGTAAGTCAACATCCCTTGGATGTTTTCTGAAGTGGATGTTTTTGAAGTGATAATAGGTTACAATTAAAAATAAAAATATTAATGAACTCGCCTTGTTTGTAATCATATCTTTTTTTTTTTTTTTTTTTTGAGAGGTTTTTCCTATAGGGCGCGTGCACTCACCAGAGAGACAGAAAGCAAGAAATCACCCCTATGGGGGATGGCCATGCCACAATCCCTTCTCCATTCTCCTCTCAGGATCCTGGGCATGCATGCACATGCGCCTAGTTTAAGCCACCGGGTCTGGGACTTGAACCGTGGTTGACTACATGGGAGTCCAGCAACATAGCCATTATGCCAACTGCTGGTCCCTGTAATCACATCTTAATTTTCAAGCTTTTCATAAAAGAGCTTATTGTATTTCAGAGAAGATTTGAAGTGGGGCTGGAGTGCCTCCAGGGTAAGCCTGGTAACGATACCAGAAGTCCTCTAAGTAATAGTTCCTTACCACAATTCGGCCCTTGGCTTTGGAGATATGGAAAGTGAATCTCACTTAAGCATTGACCTCTTTTGGAATGGACTCATATTAAACAAGCTTTCAGTGACTGGTGTGTTAACCTGAGTGCCTATTAGCTTACAGTGAGATAAAACAGGTATCAACTAGACCAGAATGCTCAGGTTGGCAGATCCGTTCAGTCTAGAGATAAACCATATTCTAATAATAAAGTTGGTTATTAATGAGCATGATGTGTTAGTTGTGATGGGCCTGCTGTCCTCTGGCTATTTGGACCTCTCTAAGTCTTAAGTGGTAGTGGTCCTTTCTTTCTCTCTCTTTTTGCATAGGTTCCCTTCTATTGATAGTTTAATTTCATAGACCTGTTCTCTTACTTGGTTAGAAACTTGGGTATACTGGGCTGGCCTGTTGTCTAGTGATGAGCTAGATTCTGCATGGCCAATCACTGTTTGAGTCTTGGTCTGGTGGCTTGAGAAACATCCTTGGCATGTGTGCATGTGTGCCCAAAGTCCCCACAGGGACTGGATTGCTGTTACTACTATAGATGCTCTTTGTTTTAGGTTTTTGCCATAGGGCACATGCACTCCCCAGAGAGAGAGAGACAGAGGGAAAGTGAGAAATCACACATACACACCCAAGGGTGGTGGTGAGATGGCCACACTGCAATCCCTTATCCTCCATTCTCTTACAATTTGGGGCATGCACGTATGTGTGCCTGGTGTGATTTTCAAGTCACTGGGTCCAGGGCTTGAACCACAGTCGGCCACGGGAATCCAGCTCCTTAACCACTCTGCCACCTCTGGCCCCACTAGATGCTCTTTGTAGGTAAATGTATCCATGGCTTCATCAATTCCTCCTGGGTTTCAGTATAGTTAGATCTCATTACCGCACTCCTAACCTGTTTATTCACAACTGCCCTTCCTGCTTGAAAGTTTCTGATGACTCCCAAACCTGCTCTTCCTGTATGTCTATCTCAGAATTCCGTATACTCAAGTTCGACATTTAGTGATATCCGCATCTCCTGCCTGTTTACTGGAGGTCACCAACCTCATATTTATATATATGATTGTGTTTATACTGCTCATGTTTTTTCCCCCGGCTCCTTTTTCTGCAGCTGGCTTGGTTCAGACCTGCCGTCTTCATCAGCAGGGTTACTGCAATAGCTTAGTGATCTCTCAGCCTCCAGACTTACTAATAATCTGTATCCGCATAACCATTTAAAATATGTAAATTAATGATGTCTTTCCTGAATAATTATTCAGTAAGTTCCTCTCAAATCCTGCAATATACATATCTCTTTCTGATCCAAACACTGCTTGTCTCTAGGAAGACTGCTTTTCTGTGGGGAGGACGTACTTGTCTCTAGCCCATTTTTTTGTCATTTCCTAGAACTCAAAAGTGAGTATTAAGAAAGAACTCTAGTGGCCAGCAGATGGTATAATTGTTACATCACTGAACTCCCATATGGCCAGCTGCAGTTTGAGTCCTAGACCTGGTGGCTTGAAACTCATGCCAGGCTCATGTGCATGTGTGCCCAAAATCCTGGGAGGAAAATGGAGAAGGAACTGTGGTGTGGCCATCCTCCCTAGGGGGTGATTTCTCACTTTCTGTCTCTCTCTGGTGAGCACACGTGCTCTATAGCCAAAATCTCTAAAATGAAAAAAAATCTCTAGGGACCAGCAGATGCCATAGTGATTATATCACTGGACTCCCACATGACCAACTATGGTTTGAGGCCTGGACCCGGTGACTTGAGAATCATTCCAGCGCCTATGTATGTGTGTGCCCAAGACTGAGGAGAATGGAGGAGAAAGGATTGTGGCATAGTCATCCCTCTCACTGTCTCTGTGTGTGTCTCTCTCCAGCGAGCCCATGACCCTTACGACAAAAACCTCTAAAAAAACCCCCATAAAACCAAAACCAAACAAACAAACCCCAAAGAACTCAAACAGCAGCTATGTGGCAGATGGCTTGGAACAGGTTGAGATGAGCAGCACAGAACCCAGTTGGGAGTCCTGCAGAAATCCCAGAGAAGAGATGAAGGACTGAACTAAGACAATGCCAGCGGGGAGAGTAAGAGAGGGAAGTGAGAGGCCCTTACCTCTGTGTGCTTGGTCCAGAGACTCACTGACAAGTCCATGAACTTGATATGGCCCCCTTGATAAGTGCTATTCAACCAGATGGCTTCCCCATGACTGAACAATAAAATTGAGAGTCAAGGGGCTGGCAGGTAGCACAAGAGTTAAGATGCTGAACTCCCACATGGTTGACCATAATTCAGGTCCCAGACATAGCAGCTTGAAACTCATGCTGGGTGATATCCGCATCTCCTGCCTGTTTACTGCGTGCATACCCAACATCCTGAGAGGAGAATGGAGAACGTGTTACGTTATGGCCATCTTAACCATTCTGCCCCCTGCTGGTCTCAGGAAAGGACTTTATATTAGTCACTTTTTTTTTTTTTTTGGAGAGATTTTCACCACAGGGCACGTGCGCTTGCCAGACAGAGAGAGAGACATAGAGACAGAAAGCGAGAAATCACCCCCCAGGAGGGATGGTCACACCGCAATCCCTTCTCCTCCATTCTCCTCTCGGGATCTTGGGCACGCATGCACACGCGCCCAGCGAGAGTTTTAAGCCACCGGGTCCGGGACACGAACCGCGGTCGGCTACGTGGGAGTCCAGCGACATAGCCATTACGCTAACTGCTGGTTCCCTATATTAGTCACTTTTGAACTCAGTTTTTCTAATTACATCATACCAGAAATGGCCAACAAATACTGTCACTGTTTAACACATCAGGTTTTGTGGTTGATCATTTACCAATAGGGCAGCCAATGAGTCTTCTGAGCCCTGCACCTGCCTGCTGCCCCTCTCATCAACAAATGGACTCTATTTCCCTTGCCTTTTGCCTGACCTTGTGACTGCCTTTGCCTGCTAAAGGACAGTGGAAGACTCCCACTGTATGTCCAAGCCTAGGTCTCAAGAGGGCTGGCAGCTTTTTTTTTTATCTTTCTTAGAAGCCAGTCTCCATGCTGCAAAGAAGCTCTAGTGGATTCCTGAAAGATGCCATGTAGAGAGACTTGAGGATGAAAGACCATCCTGGATGTTCCAGCCTCAGGCAAGCTCCCAGGCGACTGTGGTTGGCTCCTTAGCCACACCACAGGGAGCAGAGGATCCATATAGCTGATCCCAAGCAAGTCACGACTCGTGAGTGTTTAGCCACTAAGTGTTGGGGTGGTTTATTTCACAGCAGTAGATAACTTAGATTGTTATTTATGGTCAAATGGTGGTTACTTCTGAGGGGTGAGAGTACAAGTGATTTTGTTTTGCTTTGTTGCCAAAGGGTGCATGCCCTTGCCAGAGAGACATAGTGAGCGGGAAAGTGAGAAATCATCCCCCAGAGGGGATGGCCACACCACAGTAACCTCTCCTCTGTTTTCCTCCTGGGATTCTAGGCCTGCACACACACACACACACACACACGGCATGATTTTCAAGTTGCCAGGTTCAGGACTCTAAACCTGGCCAGCCATATGGGAATCCAGTGGTCTAACCATTATGCCACCTTCTGGCCCTCCAGGTGATTTTTAAAAAGTTTTCATGGCTACATAGTGTTTCATTGTGTGCTTATACAGTATTTTATTTAACCAATCCCCTTCTGATGGACACCTAAGCAATTCCAGTTGTTTGGTATTTTTAATCAAAGCAGCAGTAAACATTCTTGTATATACATTTCTGCTTACCCATACGATCATTTCTTTCTCTCTTTTTAAAATTTGCTACAGGGTATGTGCAGTTGCCAGAGAGACAGAGAGAGAGAATGAGAAAGTGAGACGGCACCCCCAGGAGTGGTGGCTATGTTGTAATCCCTTGTCTCCATTCTTGTCTTGGGATTTGGGGCACACATATGTACACACCTGGATTGTTTTTCAAGCTGCTGCTCTGGGACTTGAACCATGTAGTGCATGATGGGTCATGTGGGATCCAGTTACCTTAACCACCAGGCCACTGGCTGTCCACCGTGTAACCATTTCTTTAGGATACATTTCTAGAAGTGAAATTCTTGAGCGAATTCAAGGAGAATATGCATTTAAAATTTATATATTGCTGATTTTTCTTCTTAAGGGGAATATGAATTTGTGCTTCATTAGTAATGCATTGTTAGGGCTGGCAAGTGGTGT